ACCAGCAGGTGGCATGGCAGTTAAGGTGCTGGACACTCCCACATGGCCGACAGTGTTTCGAGTCCTGGACCTAATGGCTTGCTTTCTCACCTTCTCCCTCCCTCTCTCTCTCTGGCCAAAATAAATGAATGAATAAATAAAATTAAATTAATAAAAAAAATGTCTAATAGACAGATGGTGAAAGGAAACAGGATAAGCTCAGCTGAAATTCTCATTTAAAAAAGGACAAGCAGCACACCTGTCACTAGCCTAGAGAGTGCTTCTTAAGCGTCAGTGTCTAGGAATTGTCTGGAGATGTTCAAGTGTCATGTCTGATTCACTGGGTAGGGCCTGAGAGTCCGCATTTTTTTCTTTTAACTTTATTTCTTCAGAGAGAAAGAAGGGCAGGAACCCCCAGAAAGGTTTTGCAGTTTGAATCGTTGACACCTGTGCGTTCACCCAACATGTATGTACAGGGAGGCCTCAGGACATGAACCCGGGACCTTCCCAATTGTGTTTGCTGCACCACTCTCTGGCTCAGATTCTGCATTTCTTCCGAGTTTCTGGGTGACGAGTGCTGCAGACTAAGGACTGTGCAGGGGCAAGTCTCTAGTGTTCATCGTGCTTATTCTCCTGGCCAGGAGGAGCCCTGTAAGTCACACAACCGGCAAGCCTTTGAGGTCTTTTTTAACCGTTTATTTTTATTTGCAAACTTACTAACAGAAGAGAGAACCCCTAAGTGCCACTGATATTTACACTCTTATTTTATATAACTTTCCCCGTCTCTGAACTTCTTTATTTTAATTTTTTTTTTTTGTAATTGCTAGAGGGTGCACGCGCTCACCAGCGAGAGAGGGAGAGAGCAAGCGAGCGAGCGCATCCCTGACAGAGCATGGTCACGTCACAGCCCCCCTCCTCTTCTCCTGCCTATCGGGATTTGGGGCATGCACGTACATGTGCCTGGCATGTTTTTCAAGCTATAGGGCCAAAGTTCAAACCACAGTTGGCCATGTGGATTCTAGCTCCCTTAACCACCGTGTTACGGGATGGCCCCGTTTCTAGTATGTTTTAAAGTAAATCCAGCCATTAAATCATTTCAGTGTGCACCTCTACCAGAAAGGGATAAAAAAAAAAGACCCACCGTGTTATTAACACAAAACTTTAACAGAACACATAAACAAAAAATGACCAGTAATTCCTTGAAATCATCCAGGAGTCAGTCCCTCCGCCACACTCTCCGGGCGTGTATTTGAGTTTCCTCCAGGCAGCAGGTGAGTTTCCTGATCACTTCTCCAGTGACCCGGGTCACTCCTCAGGGCTGAGCACCTTTCGTTACTGTGCTACTTGGGTCTGGGGCCTTCCTTAGGAACTGATCACCTAGCTGCTTCTCCTCAAATCACATTCGATGGCCTGCCAGCTGTATTCTCTGCCCCTGGGCCTCTGCCCAGTCCTTTAGCCTTGAGGCTAGGCCAGCCAACAGCCCAGCCATGAGGCCTGGAAAACTGGCTCTGTCTCTGGTTGGCAGCCCAGGTGACCTTGATGGACACATTAGAATGAGGTCGCCTCAGGAGAGACCTGTGGGCTTGGGCTTCCCAAACTTTTAGCTTCAAACTCCTCCATTTCTCCCAGATCTCTCTGGTCCGTCACCAGGATCGTACATTTTCAGTGCACTGGTTGGTTGTGTACCTCAGTGAGGTGTGTGGTTATCTGAGCTTCCACCTCTGCAATCCCTCGCTGCAGGCAGAAAGAGCTTCCTTTATCAAGGGACAGACTGCAGCTCACTCCCACTCTGCTGCCAGGTCCCCGTCTGCATGGGACACAGGGACCGTTCACGGGCGAACTTGCCTCTCGCAGCCTGCCCCTGAAGCCCACAAGAAGTAGCTGGTGCGTTCCATCCAGATATTCCCCACCAAGTCCCAAGCTCCCTGAGCCTCAGGAGACAGTGTGTGGTTCCCTGGCCTGCTGCTTCTTATCTGAGAACCAAGACTGCCAAATTCCCCTACCTGGGGTAGAAGCAAGGCCCGTCTGGGCTCGGCCAGGGCTGCAGAGCAGGAACCCTCAGTGCGATGCCCGGTTTTCAGGTCCCAGATTCTGTGTGTTGGCCTCTTGGCTTGTGTGACAGGATTCAAACTCAGAAGTGTTTTGGCAGAAGGGGTACTGATTGGAAGTGTGCGGGCCTCACACACTCGCCCAGTCCCAGGAAGGGCAGGAGTGAGATGGCGTTCCTCCAGGTCTTCGCCGGCCTCGCCTCTTCCTGTGAGCTCCTTTCTGTCCCTGCAGACCCCTCAGAGGGTCTGAGCTGTAGGCCCTTGGTGCTGCCCCAGGAGTACAGAAATGCCAAGGGCCGGACGTCTGGGGTGGAGCCTTCTAGGGGACTCAAATGTACAGCCAGGGGCGAGAACTGCATTGCAGCTCTGGGCACCCAGGGAGACCCTTGTAGTTCTCATTCATAATTTGAGGGGCAGGACCTGGCAAGCCCTCAGTGTTCAGGTTCAGGTGGTCACCCGGTCTGGCTCCCAGGCCCCGAGCATGCGCAGCAGCAGCTGCCGCCCGGGCTAGCTGCGGATGGCAGATGGCGGATGGCGTCTCTCCTCCCACTCCTCTCCGCAGCAGCGTGTGCCCGGCAGCCACTGTGGACTTGGTTTTGGTCATTCACATCTCAGAGTCAAGCTCAGGGGAAAGCTGAGCTGTGTCCTTGGAGTCTGGTGACTTGGTGGGCAGTGTGGTCACAAGCCAGAATGGAGCTGGCAGAGGAGGGTGCACGGCCAGTAGGGGAAGAGGGACAGGTACGGACCACTCCCTCCCCAAGGCTGTCATGTAGGCGGGACAGAGAGAGGACAGTGGCCAGACAGAGACTCAGGGCCCAGGGAGAGTGTGTAGAGTGGGAGAGGCTAGAGCATGAGGGGAGGGCCCGGCGCACCCTGGTTGGGAGAGACTAGGGACAAAGGACCCCCGCCTTGGGGCTGGGCTGGGTTGGTTTTTCCTAAGGCCTTCTTTCCCCTTTTTACATGGGCAGGGAGGGGCGGGGGTAAATGGTATCGAGACCCAAAGCCCTGACTGCGCCTCTGGGTGCTGTGGAGCTCAGCCAGTCAGGCTGCCCCTCCCAATTCTGGTTCCAGGACAAGAACATAGCTGGGATCTCAGCAGACCTGGAGAGGAGGAGTGGTGGGGTGAAGCAGGAAGGGGTGGGAGCAATGCTGGGGGCTTCCAACCATGCAGGACAGTCCTAATGCCTCCAGGGGCCTCCCCAAATTGTCTTGTCCTACACAGTGTCCCCTTACCTGACTCTCACCCCAGCAACCAGCTGGAGGGTCTCAGGGACTGTCTTTTTTTTTTTTTTTTTGGAGAGGTTTTTGCTATAGGGCGTGAGCACTCACCAGAAAGACAAAGACAGAGAGACAGAAAGCGAGAAATCACCCTCTGGGGGGTTGGCCATGCTGCAATCCCTTCTTTGTTCTCCTCTCGGAATCTTGAGCACACATGCACATGTGCCCGGCGTGAGTTTAAACCACTGGGTCTGAGACTCAAACCACGGTCAACTACATGGGAGTCCAGTGACATAGCCATTATGCCAACTGCTGGTCCTGGGACTGTCTTTTTTTAAAGGACAGCTCCCTGCAGCAGACTGCAGAAGCAGAGCAGGGCTGTTACCTGTGGTCTCTACACCAGGGGCCCCTGACCTTGGAGACCCACTCTCAGTGCAGGATCAGGTTCCGGGATAGGTGGGGCCTCTCAGCTTGGAGGTCCTGGTGCTGAGCCCAAAGTCAGCAGGGAGGTTACCAGGCAGGGTAGGAGCCCTGCTCCTGCTGCTCAGCCTCAGATGCGCATGCAAGCTACCCTGGACCTCTGTCTCCCCATTTTTTCGCTCAAGGGCCCCAGGGGTCAGCTCTGACCTCTCTGGTCCTCTCATGTCCAGGTCCCACCCCAGCGATGCCCCTCCCCTCAGGGACAGACCATTTGACACCACCTGGGGATGGATATTCACTTCTCTTCAAAAACTACCAAACGCACAATCTAGGTGTGGCAGGGGGACAGAGCCTGGCTGGGGACCTGGACATTACACGCCCAGGGGGCCCTTGGCAGAGGCGGGCAATTTAACAAGTGGTCTGAAAGTCAAAAGAGAGAGAGCTGGTTAGTGGTATGAACGGAAGTGGGGTGGGCAGGGGCTGTGGAGCTCGGGCCAGACACAGGCCTGGCCAGTGCTGCCAGGCTCGGCCCTCTCAGCAGCCCTGCCCGGCCTGCCCCAGGGCGCGGGGTCATGGTCTAACCTAGCAATCTGGGTGGGTGTCCAAGCAGTGCGGGGTGCACTGAAAACCCTGACACCTGAACCTCAGTTTCCTCATGTGTGACGTGGACACATTCGTCATCCCAGCACAAGAGCCCGTGGGACCAGGGAGGGCTCTCCCACCCCAGGGTACTGGGCATAAAAGTCTGTCTCTATCACTGATGTGTCCCCAGGGCCCAAACATAGTAGATGCTCACGTAACCCTCTGTAAATAAGTGGGCAGGAGGGACTGCAGCTGGGCTGGTGTGTGAGGGCTGCCCACAGGGGAGCACACCAGCCAGGAGCGGTGCAGCAGGGTGGAGCCTGGCTCTGGAGCCTGCGTGTGTACGTGGGCAGGACACCTGCTTGTCTGAGTGTCTGGGTTCAGGTCTCAGGTGCCAGCGTGGGGGAATGCCTGTGCTGAGGACAAGCTGCTCAGAGCCCCACACCGAGCTTGCTCCAGGGACGTGCTGTGCCCTCCTGGCCCTGCCCAGGGTGCTGCAGGGGCTGCTGGGCAAGGGGGCCACTGGGCAGGAGCATGGGCAGGACTCAGACGTACTCTCGGGCAGCAGCCGAGGGCCCAGGTCGGTAGGGCTGTGGGCTGCTGTTGGTCCTCTCCGGCTCCGGGCATGTGCAGCAGAGGAATGAGCCTCCCAGCATGGCCAGGCCTGCGGAGGCCCAGCCCACAAACAGGGCTGGGCCAAACTCGTACCTGCAAGGAGGGGGACCTGTGTGATGCCCTGCTGGGTCCCAGGTGCTGCATCTCCCGGCCCTCTCAGGAAGGAGGTGGAGTCTTAACAGCCTCCTCCATCTCCCTCGATAAACTGGGGTGGTGCTCATCCTTCCTTCCCCAGCATATCAACACCACATGGGGTTACCAGGCACACTGGGCTCGGAGCCTCCAGCTCCTACTCTCAGCCAACCTGAGCTCATTTCCTCATCCGGCCAGTGGCGGGAGCACCGGAGGGCTGGAGCAATCCTGCCTTCTTTCTCTGTCCTCCCAGGCTGCTTCCCAGGGAGCACGCTAGGGGGCCCAGGCAGCCCGCTTAATCCCTCACCCCATCACCCGGTTGAACCCGCACAGCCATGCACGCATGAGCTGGCCCTTGGGTTCCAGCTCCACTTTCCGGGGAACAAACCAGGCATATGAGGTTAAGCCACTTGCCCTGGTACCCCGTCAGTATGTGCCGAGCAGGGTCTGAACCCCAGCCTGGGCACTTGGCTCCCAGAGAGTCTTTGCTGCACCTGGGTGTCCTCTGAGGGCCTCCTGCCCCTATGGAGGACCTGGCCACACTCCACCTGGCTCCCCGGGACCCCTGGAGAAGGCCACACTCTGCCTGACACGTGGGTTCTCCACACCCAGGCCCTACTGGCCAGCATGCCCCTCTCCTGGGTCCAGCTCCATGCCTTTGCACAATACACCCCCTTCTGGACTGTCCTGCCTCTGTCCCTCACCCCCCTCCCACCCCTGTGTCTCTCCACCTCCCCAGCTCCTTCTCTGCCTCAGGGCCCCATTAGAAGGCCTCTTGCTTTCCTTCTCACACACCCCGATGTCTGCTCCCTCTGTGCTGACCCTGCCATGCTCTCACCAGCTGGTCCTTCAGTCCCTGCTTGTCTGGCTCCCTGGGGGGCACTCTCAGGAGACAGAACATGGGGTTCCTCTGTGTCCTGAAGCCCAGGATGGGGCCTGGAACCCAGGCGACTTTGGGGACTGCTAAGGAATGGAGGGCCGAGTCCCAGCTGGTACCTTGAGCTGGACCTCGCTTTGGCAGGCTTTTGTGCTGCAGCTGCCCTGGGGAACGAGCCTTATGCCTGAGGTCTCCTCTTTGTCCTCCCTCTCCAACACTGCCTCCTCCAGGGAGCCCTCCCAACTGCTTCAGCCCAGGCATCTTTTTTCATCTTTCCTCTACTCCAGGGCCCAAAAGCTGTTGACCGTCTGAGGTTGAGGCTGTCCTATTTTCTGCTCCTAGCTGGGCTGAGCCGTCAGGAGGAGCCCAGAGGAGCCCTCAGCCATTCTAGCTCCTAGAAATCTCTGAACCTGCTTTTCACTGCCACCTCCCTGGCCCCAGTCCTGTGCTAGAGACACAACTACCACCATACTGATTGGCCCCTCCCCACGTTCTGTACAGTACGAGTGACCATAGCTGCCCTCCTCCTGGACGGGGAGCAAACCCCTCCTCCAGCTGCCAAGCCCTGCACCATCTGCCCTTGTTCTCCAGCCTCATGCCCCAGCCCCAAATAACAGCTGCCTCCCTCCAGAAGCCCCCTAGGCCCTGATGCCACCGGTAGAAATAGAAACAGCCCAGGTTTACAGAGCACTCTTGGGCCCAGGCACCTCGCCAAACTGCTTGCCCCATCACCTGGTTGAACCCTTGCAGCCATGCACGAGCTGGTCCTCGGGTCCCAGCTCCACTTATAGGGAGGAGACCAGGCGTAGAAAAGTTAAGCCACTTGTCCAGGTCCCCCATCAGTATGTGCTGAGCAGGATCTGAACCCCAGCCTGGGCACTTGGCTCCCGGAGAGTCTTTGCTGCACTCGGGTGTCCTTAGAGGGCCTCCTGTCCCTTCGGAGGGCCTAGGCACCCCCTGCCTGGCTTCCCACTCCAGAGCTCAGACAGCAGCTAGGCACTCACCTGGCATTGACAGGTGTGCTCGGGTTGAAGAACTCCTGGGTCACCAGGGTGGCATACCAGGAGACAGCAGTCAATGTGCAGAGGCCTAAGAACAAAGCCAGGGCTGCTCAGCTCTGCTCCCCATGGCCACCAGGGCTGGCCAAGACAGCAGAGCAGGAGTCGGGCACTTACCTGCCAAGAGGAACAAGGCACCCCCAAAGATAGCAACACGGCCTTTGGCGATGGGGTTGCTGTCTCCAACCCGTGTGCACTTCATGCCCACAACGCTGAGGACCATGGCCACAAAGCCCAGGAGCACGGCCACCACCATCAGGGCTCGCGCAGACTGGATGTGACCTGGGGTGGGGCAGGGCGGGTGGCACTGAGCGGGCGGCAAGGGTGGGGCTGGTCCTCAGTGGGAGGGGCCTGAGCAGGAGTTGGACTGAGACCAAACCCCTGCTGGCAGGTGAGGGCCAGTGAGATGTGGGGTGAGGGTCCCCTTCGCCACTAGCCCTGTTTTCCACTCCCTCTTGTGGATTCTTCAGGGTGGTGCATGTTGATAGGGTAGTTCGAATTCACTCTCCTGCTGCTTTCTGGCCCAGACTCCCCCTTGGGCCTGGCCCAGCCTCCCAAGCGGTGCAGAAGGAAGAGCTGAGTGTGTCTCAGTGCAGCCTGGCCCCAGCAGCAGCCCCTGCTTGTCAGCTGTTCTGACTGGTCGCCTTCTCTGCCCTGGGTCACCCGCAGTGCCCCCACGCCTGCCTCTCTGTGGGTGCCGAGGCCAGTCCTGAGCCCCAGCGCCGCCTCGGGCTGGGTCTCTGAGGGTTAGAGTTGCATGGGGCCTGCTCGCTTGCCAGCTTGCAATCTCAGCTCCACACCGCAAAAGAGGGGCTGTGTGCCATGCGTGCTGGCGCACCCGTGCCCTGAAAGCTTGCCGTGTGTGTGTGTGTGCAGTCTGGGGAGAAGAGGAGGGAAGGGTCTTACCGAGCCTCACCAGTGCCAGGCACTCAGTTCCTCGACCCTCCCTGTCCCATAGTAGGGATCTTATTCCCCTTTACAGATGAGGACACAGGCACAAGAGGTTTGGTGGCTCCTTCAAGGTTATAGTGGCAGAGCTGGGACCCAGAGTTGGGACCTGGACCCACCACTGGGAGACGCCAGAGTCCCTGCCTCCCGAGGGCAGCAGACTGGCCTGGATTCGTGGACTTGCATGGGGTGGTCGTGGAGGATGGGGCTGGAATATGGAGCCCAGCTCTGAGGACCATCAGCGGGGAGAGCTGGCTCCGGCTGGCTCCAGCTCACCCTCGCCCCACCTCCCTGAGCCCCACCGCGCTGGGCCTACCGTCCAGGGCGAGCAGCGAGTCATAGAGCTTGCACTGCACCTGGCCGGTGCTCTGGGAGGCGCAGGACATCCACAGCCCTTCGTAGAGGCCCACGGCAGTGATGATGGCGTCGCCCGCGTAGGAGGACTGCTTCCACTGTGGCAGGGCTGTGCTGGCGATGATGCCCACCCAGCCGCCCAGGGCCAGGAAGTAGCCCAGGAGCTGGAGGCCCGAGTTGGCCATGTCCCAGGGGAGGCGACCGAGGGTCCCAGGGCTCAGAGCTGAGCCAGGGCCTTGGGGGGCTCTGCAGTCATGGCCAAGCCAGAGGAGCAGCCCGGAGAGAGTGCCAGTGGTCGCGGGCAGAGAAGGAGAGGTGGCGGGCTGCAGCAGAGAGGCAGCGGCTCTGTGCTCCAGAATGCAGGGGGAGGCCCAAGAGCTGGGAAAGGCCAGGGGCCCGCCCACAGCAGCTGCCTAAGCCAGGGCAGGGTCCCCAGCAAAGCTCTTGCCCAGCTCCCTAGGGCTGGGGGCGGAGCCATGACCCAAACGGGTACCCCTACCCTCTGTCCCATCCTGGGTGGGGGTAGAGAAGGAGGGGCTGGGAAGAGTGGTCCTCCCTCTTGCCCTGGGAAACCCCTTTAAGAAACTTGATTCAAATGACCTAAAATTCTCATACTCCCTACCCCAAGCATCAGCCCTGAGATGACAGACTGGCTTTTGCAAGGCCAATCTGACCCTTGGGGGTTCTGTCCTCTGACTTTAGGACAGAGCGGAAAGGGAATTCCAGTTTGCAGTAGGTAAAACCGGAGTTGCCATCGGGGAGAACTTTGGGGCAAGGCTCTGAGGCCAGACGCGGAGAGATTGGGCCGGCACTAGAGTATTGGGGAGAGGGGTCTTGGGGACCTGGGAGCAGTGTGCATCAGAACAGAGCAGGCTAGACCAGGCAATGTGTACGGTGGGGTCTGTCTGAGACCAGAGGGAGCAGAGGGGCCACATGAGGCTGGGCCGGGGCTGGCTG